CTAATCCATTCAAACTTGGGAAATCCAGTTTTAACCAATCGTAAGGGGAATCAAAATCTCATTGGAAATGTTGTTGAAGAGCCATCTTCAGTAGTGAGCTACCAAATGTAGAGGATATTGTAAGTGGATACAATGAGTGACTTCATGGTGTAACACAGTATATTTCTTGTAGTAGTCAAACAAGAAGCAACTATCTTTTTAAAGCTGACTAGCTCCAAAAACAGCTTTATCCATGAAGGATACCTACTAAGCTATGGAATGGTTGAAACTCCTTTTTAGGGGAGGGGATTGTGCCGTTCATTTCTTTCATTCACTTTCTGGATGGAGTGCTAGTCACGATCACATACTAGTTGAATATCATACCTGGAATAAGAGGAAGTTCACCCAGATGTGACCCATCAACAAAAATTCTCTACAGATATTTCTTTCTCTCCATCAAAGAAAATGAAGTGCCTGTCTCCACCGTTGTAAGACATTACGACCAAGAAAAACAGCAATAGTCCAAGGAAGCAGAACAGAAGAAAAACAAAATGCCAAATAGGTATATAAAGGGTTCTGAAATCTATCTCCTAGGACAAAAACGATGACTGTTGCTGTCGAAACAGGAACAAGTAAGATCATCTCCAGCATCCTCAAAAGAAGTGCCTAGTGGGAAGCCTATCTCCACATGGTCGTTTTCAGCTTCAATTACCGCATCAAAAGTCTTTGAGGTTCCCAGTTCCAGAAAGGCCCTGTACCGGGCTGATAGAAACTTGATACTGGAACACTGGGATGATGAAAGACTGGGGTCAGTCTTGGGACATGTAAAGGAAACAAACTGAGATGGAAGCTCCAGAAACTCTTTCAAGCCTGCCAGGATCAACTGAAAGGAGATTCGGGACCTCTGGCATCAAGAAGTGACCTTTTAGCTCTAGAGATGTTGACTGGGCTTCATCCTTAACAGCCCAGAAAGCAAGAAACATGATTGCTTGCAGATTTCTTGGCATTGATTTTCACTGAATGACCAAGTATCAGCCTGGCAAGCCTCTGCTTTAACTTCAGAGATGTGAATTCTTAAACTTTACCAAGCTGTGGTTAAGAGACAGTATAAGGCAGGCACCTGCACAGGGTGATCTTTTCAAGGTAGCAGTCCATAATTAGTCATTGCCATGGGTTTTTTCTAGTACAATCCAACCTGGATGGTGTTGATTCACAACAGCTGTGGCTACTGGATTCAAGGTTGCATTTAAAGCCTCTTCAAGCAGTAATTCTGAAATTTATACCCCTGATCTTTTCTCATATAGCACTTAAAGGAACAGCAAACTGAGCATTTGTTAAGAATACGTTCCTAACCTAGACAGAAAACCTCTTATAAAATTTGGCCTTTTGAAGCAATAAAAATGTTTGTTTTGGAGGTAGCACCAAAAGGCCATTACAGACTATCTTTAATGAACGAACAAGGAACCACTTACTGTGTAACTGAACAAAACACAAACTAACTGAACAGTCCATTTATCAAAGCAGGTAAAAGAAATTAAGAGTGACACAGGGCATACTCTGCAACATACATCCAGACACTAAGAAATTGTGACTGTCCCTTATAGGAACCGCAAAGGGAAAAGGCTGTCCAGTCTCATTTGACACACAATATGCACACCAACAGGATGAACGTACATATGGGCTATCACCTGAAGCTAGAAATTAGAACTGCTGATACCAGTAGGTTTTTTTCTACTAAGCAAACACAATTGTACAAACTATAAGCACAAGTGGGGTTTTCCTCTATTATAAACAGAAATTAACTCTTTCAATTTAACACTAGTCAAATATTTGTAGAATCAGATCTGTAATTTTCTGTAACCCTTAGTGAAATAGTTTAATTACCTCTGAAGCCTCTGCACAAGGTGTGACACCATGTTATCTGCAATGCCCGGACAAGCCTCTTCAGCTAAATAAATAGCCTTTCTTAGTTCTTCTATGGAATCTGTGTTACCACCGCACACTTCACTCTTCTCTTTCAACTGAAAGAATAACAGGAAGAGATATATTAATAAGACAATAATAAATATTTCTATAAACAATATAATGTGAAGTTTGTTAGGAAGTGACCACGAGTGTTCACAATGTCAGGATTTGACTTTCGTTATACACCCTCACACCCTGAAGACCTTTTTCATCCTGAAGTTAGTCTTTGCAGTAGTTATCAGGATGTCATTCATCTTCACAAGTCTTCACTTATTCACATATTCTTTTCAGTGTGATCGCATTCAAAAATTACACCAAAGTATCCCAAGAAAGATGCACTATTCACCTGTAGCTGATCAGTTTCAAGATGTGCTGCTTATACACGCTAACCTTAGTATATATACGTACACACTGCAGGTGCACTTGTGCAAGCACTGTTAGAAAATGTTTTCACCCTGAGCACTCTCTTATCTTCCCTCTGAAGCAAAGGATTCCATTATTAGGCAGGAGTCGAGAGCTGAGAGGGAAGGTCTCAGTGTTTTGCTTAGGTAGGAGCTGGTATAACATGCTGAGAATGGCTGATATAATGCTTGCTTTCTCAGAACTCACTAAAGAGCATTCCAAAAAAATCTCAGCAGTGTCTGGCCTTCCTTGGAAGAAAATGTCATGTTACTAGTAGCGAGGGTGAATGAAGGCATGGCCTTCTTTCAGGGACTGGATTTTCCCCAGCAGGTTAGATGTCTGCATTTACAAGTTTCTCTCCACGCTTATCACTACAGCTGTCGTCAAGAGCTGCTTTGCAGCATCCTCTTAAGAAGGATGGAAAGTCATTTCTCAGGAGGAAAAAAAAAACAAACAAAAAACAAAACCCAACCAAGCAAACAAAAAAAACCACTGGTGAAAAAAAATACTCCTGTTGGAAGCTGACTGGGCTTACAAGTGCTTTGGACCAAAGAGTTTGTTACACAGAACTGAAAAACAGTGCAGTATTTTTCTACATATTTCTCTACAAATTATTCAATTAATTTAGGAATCGTCTCTGAATGCTGGACCTATAGCCAGTCTGCCTTTATGTCATTACTGCCAGTAATGAAGGAAGCTTAGCTTGAACAAATGGAAAGTTTGTGCTGCTTTCTGGGATATAATGAGGCCATGTGTACACTTTTGGCCCTACTTAAGTATAGCACAGGGAATTGTCACGTGGAATAAGCATGATCCCCAGAAAGCAGCAGGAAGCAGAATTAATAGACCAAGACAATTTTGAGTTCAGTGTAATACAAGACATGCCAGAGGGAACAAAGTGGCACTGAAGTTCTTCAGAGATGTCCAAGCATTAAAGCAGCCTTCCAACACTTTCTGAAGTGAACTTTCAGCAGGTGTCAGGAACTACCATTCAAGAGTTGCCATTATCATAGAGGAAAGGGTTTTCTATAAAAAGTAATCAAGAGTTTTGCAAGTGAAAACATAAAGGAAATAATCATTGTTCTAGTTCAACATTTAGCGATGTTAGGGCACCCTCCTGAGCGTAACTTGGGTCGCAACAAAAGGAAATCAGGAGGACTGTGTGTGTATAAAACAGCTGAGGTACAACCACAGCAACAGGAAGGCTTCTGCACTCTTCTTTGGCTGCCGCTTGTGTTCTCTCTTCATTACATCCAGGATGCTCAAGTGAGATCTTGCATAGAAAGCACAGGTAACAGGAAAATGCAAATGCCTTTTCTTTTCCCAGTAATAATTAACCCCTTCTTAGTCTGAACTAGGAAGTCCCAGCTTGAGGACAAGACAATAGAAGTAAATAATAGTGTGAACATTACAACAGAGGACACCTCCAGATCTCCTGCCTTCAAAAAGGAACCTAGAATGAGTCACCGCATGCAGTATTCAGCCAGTGGCCTCTGCTCAGGAGAAACAAACCACTTCAGGGTGGTAGCTGGTCACTGAAGATCACAAAGAACTGACAAGCACAACAACTTTATTCATTTTCAGGGTGTGTGTGGTTTTCTGTAGTCTGTGGGGTTTGTTTTGTTTGAGGTTGGGTGTTCACTTTGTTTGCTCTTTTAATTGCTTTGCTGAAGTGCACCGAGCTTCAGATTACTACCGGCAACACAGAGCAGCAGGGCCCCATAGCTAAGCAAGCCTCTTCAGCCAAGGCTCCTAAGTTGTATCAGAGTTCAACTGAAGGAGAAGGATGCAGAGCACAATCTTCTGTAAGATTACTTAGGGACAGCACCTGTCTCCTGTGATAAAAGCTTTGAAGCCTCCATGATGTCAAAAAGCTCTGAATGGCCAGCTTTGTTCTTTTTGGAAGAGTTCCATGGACTAACACAGCCAGCAACAATTCCTGAAGGTGCAGATATCTGTGGTTTGAATGCTAACAAATGGAACACTGAAAATGTAACATAAGTTTCCTCCAGACAGCACAGACAGTAGCCATGCCCTTAAGAAAAAGGGAAACACTGCAATTGAGATTCTGGAACAGTTTGGGAAAGTTGTGGCTAGCCACCAGAAGTTGCATGGAAGCGGAGTCTAAAGTAGGAACCAAACAGCAGATACCAGACCAAGAGTCTTCTCCCATAGGATGAAAAGATACAACAAACAAGTGTGTCATGAAAAAATTCTTCCATAGCTTCTACGTGCTTTAGAGGTGAAAGTAAATGGCAATCTTAAGGACTGCAGTGAAAACTGTTTGTGTTGCTCAGCAGTGCTAGGGGAATCATATATCCACAGGGATCAGCAAGTGGCAGTTAAAAGAATGGCCTTGAAAATGAAAATGGGAAGGAAGGAAGAAAAGCAAAGAATGACACAGCAACTAGGTAGCAATACTATAGGAAAGAAGAACCCAGAGCAGAGATATCTAGAAGACAGGTAAAATAAAGGGCACAGTGGAGAGAAAATGAAAAATAAACAAAGCATTAAAATGGCGGATGGAGTGTGGAAGACAGTGGATGCAGGACCTATATCATGCCTGGTATTGGAAAAGGAGAAGGAAGACCTAAAGGAGATACACAGGAACCAGAAAAAAGTTTTGTAGATGGAAGGGTAGGGACCTGAAAGAAAACCCTCAGACAGAGGCAAGCAAGTTCGTAATACATAAAGAACTGCAATGGAAAATGCCAAAAAAATCCCTGTTCAAAGTGTTTCTCCACTTTACATAGGAGAATGACAGCCTGACTTAATACTGGAGTCTGAATAACCAATACACAGGTCACCCCCTTTAAATAAGTTTAATTGCTTTACTGCACTCGATATTCTTAATGAGCAGCATGCAAAATACGATAGTAATCCTCTGAAGTAGGACTTTATTCATTAGAACAAAATTAAGACAACATCCTTTTATTAGAACAATTTCTCTAACTTTATTTATGTAACAGTTACAATGATTGAAATCATTATTTAAATAAAAAAATTTCATATCAAAGCTAGGGTGAGAGGGGAGGTTTTGTTTCTTAGAGTTCGATCAACTTTTTAAAATAATCACATCTTCATAAATATCTGGCTTCCTTTTATGATTTTTTTAAAAGTTCTTTTTAAGTATTTGGAAAAAACAAATATAGAAAAAATATAAAATTCAGAATGGGAACAAAATACAGTTTTCAACACTGAAATTTGAATGTTAAGTTCTTGCTGATCTGGTCCACAGCCATATCTTGGAACACTGAAGAACTTGAAATTTGTAACAGATAAAATGGCAGATAAAGAGATAAAGCAGCGTCAAAAAATGGAATGCTGTAATCCAAACATTTACGTATCTTTTCGTTTTTCATGTTCATTGCTTTAGGCTAGCATGGTTGATGTTGCTACCATGCATATGAATTATTGTCAGAAGCAAAACAAAGATCTCAAAAGCAGACAGGCATGAAAGTAAAGTACAGCTAAAACTGTAACACATCAAGTTCCAAATGGGTTGTAGGAGCCTTAGGTGTCATTCCTCATGTTTTTCTATTTTTCAGAGACATAAATCCTGGAATTGTTAAGTTTTAAAGCAATAACTTACCTCTGCAAATAAAGGGGATATAACAGTAGACAGGCATTGGGATAGAGGCCTCTTTGGGATATCCTTTTCCTTTAAAGAAAACAAAATTCTGACCATTTTTATTTCTGAAAAAAAGCATCCTCGTTGTATTCTGTTTCTAATTACAGAAAAAATAGATCCAACATGTCACACTTTACGAAAAATGTTCTACAACAGACTGTTCCAAAGCACTGTGGAAAACGGAGGCTGAATTAAAATTTGAGCTGCGGCACCTCAAATACATCCAAGCTCAAAATAAAATAAAAAAAAACAAACACCACACAACAACAAACCACAAAAAACCTCACAACCCACACACAAAAAAACCAAACAGCCCCCAAAAACCCACAGTCCTACTGAGCATGTAGTAAATCATAGCCATGCTGATATTTACTAGGTTCCTCCTATATGGCACAATATTTTTCTTGTATTTCTCCAGTTCTGATAAGAGCACATACACAGAATTTTGGGAGCCAGGATAGCAACCACATGTCCTCGCCACACAGGCTGCAGAAAATACGATGGAGCAGCTCCTAAACATCCTTATTCTGGGTTGGCTTTTTTTTTTTTTTTTGAGCACATGCACATTCTGTTCCCTGCTACGTTGTAGCCTTTTTTCCTAAAAGACAAAATGCCTTCCCCGAAACCCCAGCCCAGCTTTCTACTGTACTGGTTTAAGTTTACTTTACAGAGGGAAGATTTTTAAAAATAAAATATTGCCTCGTCTTCCTCTAGTGGTAATATTTCACAAACTACAGAAATATTTTGGTACATATTTTACAAACTACAGAAAACAGACACATTTACAGAATACCCAAACTTCAAGATTTACTCAAAACATTTTGTGAAAGGCAACTGTAGAATATATATTTATAGCAAAAGTTCTGGAAGTTTTAAAATTTAAACACTTTTAAAGATATAAAATAAAAGTCACTCCACTAAATTATTAAAGCAAGAATGATCTCCTTGTATAATACACTGAATATTTTGAGCACCTTATTTCTTTGCAACTCCAAAGGCTGGGCTGCTCCATTCTCTAGATTCTTGGGGTCTTTTTCTCTTATTGTAAAGATCCACTCTCCTAAATCACTCCCACCTGAAGCCTGGCCATCTGGCTCACTTCAAGGGAGGGGAAAAAGAAAAAAAAAAACCAAACAGTTTTATTACCCACACCTTGTTGTCCATGTTCATTCAATATACATGCTAAACAAAAACAACAGTCAAAACCAAAATCAGGATTCTATTGTGCAAGCCAATAAGTACAAAGACAAGTATGAAAAGTAATGTAATTTATCTTTTTGAAGAAATTAAAAAAATGAAACCAAGATACTTCACTAAATGTTAAATTAACTTCAAAAAGAAAGAGAGGCATTACAGATATTGAAAACATTTTCACAAGTTTCATAAATATTTTCATAAATATAAAACATTTTCACAAGTTACATAAACAAGTAACATGAAGTGTTTTATTGCTATCTGAAAACTGGCTTTAGCAGAGTACCTCAAATCATTAGGGAAGGGAGAAAAAAAAAAAAATCGGAAGACTTAATTCACTTTTTTGCCTAGAGAAACAGCTAAGATGCTAGCTTAGAATATCTTCCAGAAAGACCAGTTCATCCCCAGCCTGTTAGCAAGGTAGATTTCCCACTTCAAAAAAAATTCGCTAAAAAAGTACAGATACAGAATGGCTTTAACAAACTACATCACCATAAATCAATGTTTTGCCTCATTTTTTGTGGACAGCATAGTAATTTTTCCTATAACTCCTGCTAAGTTAAAAAACCAAAAATACTTATGCTCAAAGTAATCAGTCACTCCATTACATTTCTCCTCTCACTACCATAAATATTCTTCTCTAAGTTAATGTCTTTCTGATCTGTGAATTAGGAGTGATTTGCAAGAAAACCACCAACTAAAAGAGCATTTAGTGGCCATTGTACAAAAAGTATTTAGCGCAGCCTATCAGGTCAAAAAGCATGTGATCAGTGTAAGGAAATTCTCCAAGATTTCTGCATGAAGTCACATCGAACTTCTGGCTGTCACTGAAAGAGGTAAGTCTACCTTCCTTGTATACTTTAGGTCTAGTAAGTTGCTCCAACAGAAAGATATTTATCGATTTGGGAAGTTAGTATTCCAGCATGCCAAATCAACTCACCCTTTTACCACATCTAATACAAGGGCTGCTGTGGAAGCAGAGGAGGAGGAAAAGCAGGCTTAGACATAACATTAAATTGTCTCACAAGCACCCAGTAACCATTCTAGTTCCACTACTCTCCTATGCCAAGCTAATCAAAGCTGGTTTGATACTCCACAGGAACAATGAACTGTAACCTCAGAGTTCAGTTCGTAACTGATCTGAGACCACTCTTAGGACGAGTACTTTACCTTCAGACCTGGTTTTGGGCTGTAACTGTGATCACTGGAAGGCATGAAGCCATTAATAATGTAGGACAGCTGTAATGGCAGCCAAGAAATCATAACCAGCCTGATGCCTGCCATTAGCACACAGACTGGAATTCCAGAAAATAGTTGTGTTTTCTTTATTACGAGGAATTTAATCCATTTGTGAATAAATTGTGGCAATCCCTTCACTTGGTTTTCAAAAGTGTGTAATTTGATGATATCCACTATTTTCAAAATTACTTTTTGACTAACCAAGTTAAGTTTTTAACTGAGTCATAACTATTTGTAACTTGGCTTGCTAAGGAAACCAACTCATGAATCTATTGAACAGCTCCATCAAAATTTGATGAAGAGAAGTAAAAACTGGAAGGGAAAGAAATCTGGAAATATTTACAACACTTTTCCTTTTTCAATAAATAATTTGACATCTCATGACAATCATGCTGTAATGGCTGAACCTTCCTGGAAGGATGGGGGAGGGGGCGGAAAATAACTCATTAAAAAAAACACTAGGTAATATGATTTGTACCCCAAAACCCCATTATCACAGAAGCACTGTCCCCTAATCCTCTCTTCTATGCAAGGATATGCTTCTGCCTGTTTGCTCAGACAGCCAAAACGAGGGACAATCTGCCACCATGGAGACAACTTCCCTCCTTAGGTGGCCATGTGCACACTGCTACTTGGCCGTGCAGGGTGAGGCCTACCTTCCGCTTGCACAAGAGGAGTAAGAGTTGGCCTTATGTCTAGGAAAGACCCAAGACCCTACCTAAAACAGAAGGTAGTACAGAATGGGCCAGAGGAATTGTTCTCAGTGGCTGTTATTTGCGCAAAATCCCTTGTAATACTGAAATTGAGATTTCATTAGTTTACCAAGGCTGCTAAGCTGAAAAGCTGTAAATGACAGAACACAGGAATATATGTGCTAAAAATACCTACTTGGCTCCTATATTTACAAAGGATATTTTACAAACTCAAACTTACGTATCCGAGTCATCAGAACTGGAGTCGTCATGACTTTGTTCAGATTTCCATCTCTTGTGCCTATCAATAAGGTCAGTCAGGTAGGAAGTTTTCTTTGAGTTTCGTAAAATAAATTTGTGTTTTAAGAGCTCTTTTGCAGTAGGTCTCTTAAAAAAAAAAACATAAAAAAAATTTTTTACTGCGCTTGAGAGTGTTAAGTGACTCACTATAAAGATTAAGAAATCCAGACTTCAGTCTAGACACAAATGAGATTTTTTAATATATACAGTATCAAAGAAAAAAAAAAGATAGATGCTGGTGAATATGTTGCCCCATAATTAGGAAAGCTGAACTGCACTTATTCATGTAATTCATGTAAACTAGTCGAGTTCTCTACTATAAGCTGACAAACAGATGAAACTCACAAAGCCTGGGTCCTTGTTTAAGCAGGCCTCAACAAATTCTTTGAGGGATTTACTGAAGTTTCCTTCCAGCGTTGGTGGATTGTTCTTAGGAATGAGGAACAAAACCTTCATTGGATGCAATTCTGAATGAGGTGGCTCTCCTTTTGCAAGTTCTATGGCTGTTATGCCTAATGACCAGATATCTGCCTGTAAGAAACAATGCTTTTAAGATTAGGTTGGAGAAAGAGAAGAAACAGTGTTGCTTGCTGGCCTGGTTTAACCCCAGCTGGCAACTAAGCACCACGCAGCCGCTTGCTCACTCCCCTCTCCATTGAAAGGGTAAAAGAAAATTCGTGGGTTAAGATAAGATCAGTTTAATAATTGAAATAAAATTAAATAATAATTTAAAATTGTAATGAAAATGAAAATAACAAAGAGAGAAATAAAACCCAAGAAAGACGAGTAACGCAAATGAAAACAATCGCTCACCGTGACCTGACCGATGCTCAGCCAGGCCCCAAGCAGCACACCCCCAGCCCACGTTCCCCCCAGTTTTATCGCTGAGCATGACGCCATACAGTATGGGATATCCCTTGGGTCAGTTGGGGTCAGTTGTCGATAACAAAAACATCCCTGAATTATCAACACTTTTCAAAAAATCCAAAACACAGCCCCATACCAGCTACTGTGAAGAAATTTAACTCTACCCTAGCCAAAACCAGCACACTTGCAAAGGTAGATTTTAAACCTTCACTGTAAATAATTTCATATGTACGTTGGTTTTGTTATCATGGTCTGGTTTACGTGGTTAATCACATAAAACAAAGTACACAGAGATCTTTGGTTGGTTTTACTCTACAGCATAAAGTAGTTTTAAAAAGTTATGGTAGAGTTGTTATAAACTAGCATTTTATCCACCGTATTCAAGTACATAATGTAAATACGGGGCAAGATTCAAATATTGGCATAAAGGAAAATGTTATAACATGCACAAGGTTTTTCTTCAACAAGCATCAGCTAGTACAACCATTTTATGGTTGTATATACATTAGAATATCATTTTCCTGGGGTCTAACACTGTCTTATATAATATTCTTATTCACAGACTACAGAAATGCAGTCTCCAACGGTATTATCCAACTTTTTCAACCCAGTATTTCAACCAGTTAAGTATTTGGTCCAAGTAGCACTTTTCTACCTGATCTGCTTTGTAGACCTTCTCCTGTGAGGCATGTCTTGTAGGCCAAGAAGGCCTGATTTAAATCAAACTTCTTTAAGTCACGCACATGCAAAATGCAGATCCAAAGGCTCACTGCCAAGTTTGAGGGACAAATCAAGTAATGCAGAGATCAGTCCTAGATCTGCTACCGCTTAATTTCATTGACAAGTTGGATTCACATTGTTACTGGATGCCACAATATGCCTATTAGGTTTTTAGGGAAGATTATTTAAAAATATTTGTTTCATAGGTTTTCATCATCAAAATGTGCTACTCTTCCTAGGGAACGCTGTCTCCCTAGATTTAAATCCTGTTGCCAAATCTGCCTGAAGTAATATGAAGTAATGCATCATCATTCTCTATGTTCTGCTGAAATAACAGATGTAAAAGTCAAAAGAATGGATGAATAAACCCCTCAGAAAGGTGAAAGAAAAAAAATTCACAGAAACTTCTGCTCCAAAGAACAAGATCTCAATTTAAAATATTTATGTTTTGTTTTTTCTGTTTCTTTTGAAGAAGTGAAAGCAGAACAAAGACTTATTCTCAGGAAAACAGGAAAGATCTGAAGTGAGCTGTCTGGTTTTACTCCCAAAAAGAGCATCTGGAACTTTGCTACACTGTAAACAGACCTATTTCCAGGTACCGGATAGAGTAGAGATTTCATTTATGACTGCTGTCCTTACGAAGTGCCACTCTAACCCATCTGTCTGCTCAGTTGATACGCTACGTTATCTGTGACTAACTCATACAGGACTACAGGCCGATAGCTGCAATGCAGGCATCCATTCCACTATCGTAGCTACATTGCCCGACCAAAAACAAGCTCCTTCTTCCTTGTTCAGACAGTATTCTAATGTTAAAAGCTTAGTTACCTGATTTTACAAGTCAGTATGGAAAAAAAAAAAATCTGAGTCAATTAGCATACCATCGAATTTATGAAATGGTATTTTGTTAACGCATGTTACAGAACTGCCATCTCTAAGCATATCAGCATAAGCATATCAGCTCTGAGTTTCATTTGTCTTAGTAACAGCGTTATTGGCTAAGCTCTCCTCAAGTCGGAGTATAATGGTGAGTAACCTCCCTCTAGCAGGAAAGCTTTTCCTGGTTATGAAAGAAAAATGTCATCTGCAAAGATGAGTCTTCGTGTTAACAACTGAGCATTATTATTTCCAATTTACTAAGAATTTCAGTTTCTCAAGAGGAATGTGTTAAAGCCATATAAATGGAAAGATTTTCTTCTGCCAGACTTTCAGTCACAGATGGAGCGTGTGTATCCATACATATAAAAATCAAATTTATATGTGTATGTGTGCATAGATATTCACATGCATGTACACACACATATATATAAATACTTCCTTTTTTTACCTCATATTTATAACCTTCTAGTGCTAGTGACCTTTCTCCACAAAAATGAACAAAAAAGTCCAACAAACCACAGCTGCACACTGAACTCTGAAGTTCAAGATCGGTTTTGGAAGCTCATTCCTGTTGGAGGCATCAAGAATAAACCCCCCAAATTCCTCTGGAGCTGTAACCTCTCCATTCGCAGATCAGAAAGGATCTCAAACCAGGGATGTAACTACCAATTGCATGCATATCCAACTAGGCATTTCTAGGTGCGCTTGTCAGTGACAATGAAACTCCAGACCAAGTGCTAATCAGTCCTCCAAATGGGGAGGGAGAAGCATGACCTTAAGAAGCAACGACACTTTATCATTACTAAGTTTTACCACATGTTACAATTTTTACAGTTTCAAATCTTGAACAAAAATTATTCTTCCAAGTTCAGACGAGAGTCAGCAAGTCACTGGTAACTACTATTTATTGCAGTACTGCCATAAGACTTTCCTCTTCCATTCTGAGTAGTAAAATTTAGTCTGACTTTGAAGCTCTTGTAAGTCAAAGAAAGCACGTTATGTGTAAGAGAAAAATATTTTTAAATTAAATGTTTATTTTTCTGTTAGAAGTTATACAGTAGAAAGGACAGAACTTGATATGGGAAAACTGAGGCAGGTAAGAAAAGATGCTGACTTTCAGATGAAGAAAGGAACCAAAACAGGAAGAAGAACTATTGCCAAAATAACAGAAATTAGAAAGAAGGGAAAGATCCTATGAGAACATTACATCAAAGAACAAATAGCTTGAGAAGAAGGAAATAAATGGCATGGGAAGAGATAAGTAAAAAAGGAAGAGAAATTAAAAAAGAGGTGGTAGCTTTAAGATAACGACTATAGTCATGTTTGGACATTTCACTATTTTTCCCCATGGCTGATAGTTTCTTTAGCAGCTAGATTTTATCACTCCCTTGGATTACTTGGGCTTTAAAAACCAAACTACAAGGGAAAACAAAAAATAAAGTTGAAATTTTTGCTATCAAGTATGCCTCTCAGATTACCCATCTTAGGTTATAGCTAACTTACTCTCTCACACAAGTCATCTGGAAATCCTATGTTCTCAAATACATCAGTCTGGATTATTATTTACAAAAGTCTCATAGAAGCTGTTGAAATTTTAGTACCTAAGTAGAAAATCACATACCTTGATTATTTTTTTAGGCAATAAAGACAAGTGTTGGAATGCCTTGTAAACATACCTTGCAATTCATGGTCTGAGAAAGAATAACAGGAATATCTTAAGGACACAAAACAGTTTGGGAATGGGACTGAATAAAGCAAGAATGGAACGGGCAAATTCTGTATGGCAGTTAAAGAAAACAAAGCTCACGTATGCATAAAGCAGTCCAAAAAGCCTCACATAATTTTGAGAGGACAATATTGTGAACACAAATTTGGACTTGGTTTGATATTGTTAAGTTTCGCATATTTTAAAACAAAAATAAACAAGATGTATGCATTTGTCGAATCCTGAATTAAAACAGCGTTTTTCAAAAGTGCAGACATTTTTTACCTATTAAAAAAACCTGCTTCACTACCTTAACAAAAGATAAAAGATACTACATACATACATTCCCATAACATATGTTTGGGAAAAAAAAATAAAGACTATAGTCAAAATCAACAGCTTTTGTTAAGTATTCATTACTTTTACACAATCTTAAGAGACATTAAGGTGAATGTTGAAATATTACAAAGTAATGCAAAGACAATAAAGATAAAATGCTTTTGGTTAAAACAGTGTTAAGTGTTTCACATGAGGAAATCCCTCAGAAGTTTGTCTCTTCAATTCTGAAATCTGTATTTGACAGAATGGTGAACTCAGAATCATATCTGAAGTCAGAAGAGATACTAGAGCTTAGTATCCAAAACTGCTTCAAGTGGAAATCAATATACTGGAATAATAGTTCTTGCATGAGTTTTGTTGACCATATAGTGTAAGTCATGGTCAGGAAATCCACCAACTGCCCATAATATTAAGACAAGCGATAACAGTGCTGAATCAAGACCTTAAGCTTTATAGCAATAACTAGCAATGTTAGACCTTAGGACGCATCTGCCTTCTTTTAGCCTGGTTAGTAAGTTTATGTCATAACTTAGGTTTTGCTTGCCTTGCACAGTTGTGCTATTTCAGCAGTCAGCATGAGCAAAGATACCAATCCAATCAGAAAAGGAGCAATAAAACAATTTAACAGTTGGTGTAAGGCATACAGTAAATGACGAAAGAAGCTGATGAACTGTGTGAAAGAAGCACGTGAACTGTGCCCAAGGTAGTGTTACAGAGCACTTTCAAGCTTTTACTGGGAACTCATCAGCATGTGGGAAGCAAGAGGATTCAACAGGGCAAAGAAAAAACTGGGTAACGCAGCAACTGGAATGGAATTTGTGTGGACCTCACTGGGACTAAGCTACAAAGAGGACAGTCCCGCCCAGTATCTCTCAAGCACAGCCAGCTTACAGAAGGAATATGAGGTTAGCCTTTGGAAGTCCGCGTTCTCACATACGCGCAAGACTATCTCAAAATAAACAGGCCTCCTCGAGTGGTGGTTGTACAACAACAGCAAGACTATTGTCTGTGCAATTTAATCTGGTCTCTAAGTGCCAAAAGGCTCACAGATGCAAACAAGTATCACTTCAAAACTTCATTCAAAGTTCATTCAAAACTTGAATTTTGGCCTTCTAGGAAACTGATCAAGTATCCAAGGCCTTTTTATGTTCACATGACATTGCAGACTAAAACAGCCAGAATTCAAAACCTCAGGAGTGAATCGTGCTTTGTCCAAGTGAAGAGCGGCCCCAGAAGTCAAACCTCAAAAAAAAAAACCCCAACAACCAACACCCCAAGACCAAAACCAAACAAAACCCCCCCATCATCCACAAAAAAAAAAAAAAAGTTTCTCAACCTTCAAACTGGGGTTTTGGGGTCATTTAAGCTTCTAGAGGCTCTCCAGAGCTCTGCTACTTATTTTTTAACAGCCTCTCTACACAAAGATATCAAATAGGAAAGGAAGTAATACTAGAAACAGTCTAGGTCAGAGTCAGTATCGGCGAGTTCCTCACATGCACAAGGGTGGAAAGAAGGTCACCAAGCAGTCTCATTGCACGGAGATGTGACCAAACAACAAATCACTACAAGGGGATCAGAGAAGATGAGCAAGAAAAACGAGCTCAGGGAAGAACATAAGGAACGACTGCTAATTATCATAAAGCAAGCTGATCTTATCTCAACACAAGTGAGACTTGAGGGTGACCTTTGTTTCAGATATACAGCTGCACCAGTGGGTCATTGGGTTGCGCAAACAGCCTTCCCTGATGTAATCCGTAGAGCAATGTCTTACTGAGCTAGCCAGATCAGCACGGGGGAGGCAGAAGGGAGCAGCAGCAAGGAGGTATGTATGTAGCTCAGCCTAACAGAAGTATAAAAAACAAGTAACCAACAAAATGAACTTTGAAAAAAAGCAATGGGCTTGAGCTGGCTTCAATGCACATATTGCTTCCTGGCAACTGGGGACACCTAGCGCCATGCTGGTCAGCATATGGAGACCAGTAATCAGAACCACATTTCTATTGTGATCCAACTGTATATTACAATTGACATATTGTGCTTGTGTTGTGATTTCAGTATACTGCTGTACCACTCTGCTAAATCAAAATCCCATGTAATGTAAATATCTACAAATAAGTAAATTCTATATTAAACATTAAACTCTCCCTGTGCAGCATATCTAAAAGAACATGGTCAGACAGTAGCATAGGCTATGCAGCACATGCTTCCACAGATGAATATTAGCACTTTCAAACAACACTTTCACACCCACCAAATCCATATTCTTCAACAGTGTTGCTGACTATTTCTTTTCTAAAAGCAAGTGGAAGCATATTAACATTTTGTATACATTTGCTCTCTTCTACTTTTAAACAACCATCAAAAATACTCATCAATAGAGCAGGATAAAAGGTGACAGGATGTACTTGTCAATACTGTAATATTTCTTGCCATATGGATGGGTTTAATACACTAGGAAACTTAAGGTTTGGATACAAATTAGGAAAGCTTCTTTCCTCACCAAAAGCTTTTAGCTGCTAGGTATCATCCAAACGTACACCCATCTAGACAAAGCCAAATTATTAGCTACCTTCTGAAGACCAACCTATGTAATTGAAGTTAGAAGGGACTTTGGCTAATGCCTTGAAATACCTTACCTTTGAATCATATGCTGATTGCTTTATTACTTCAGGTGCCATCCAAAATGGCGTTCCCACAAAAGTATTCCTCTTTATCTGTGTATCTGTCAGTTGTCCTGCTACTCCAAAATCTGCTAGTTTTACTTCTCCTTGTTCAGATAGCAATACATTAGCAGCTGGAATAAAGAAGAGGAAATAGCGGAAATTAAGTTATTTGACATTGCAAGGGTGTTCAGTTATATTGCATGAGCTCTTCTAATATTCTTACAATAGAAATAAAAAACAATTTACCTTTAATATCCCTGTGGATTTTCTTTTCTGAATGCAAGTAATCGAGTCCTTTGAGTATCTCCCTCAATATTGTAGCAATCTGGGTTTCATCGAGTGAACCAGGTTCTAACTAGGAGACACAAGAAATATTTTTATCTATGTGTGTGTGTATACATACATATAAAAAAAAGGAGGAACAGAGAGAACAGATATAAAACTCTAAAAAAGAAACTATAAAAAGACTATAAAAAGAAATTACTCCTTCTGTCACACCTCAAAACTTCCAATTTGCCAACTTGTTAACATGAGATACAACCCAGAACATTCTTTTAAAAAACACATAGTTCTAAACTAAGTGGCCTTATGAACAACAAAGAAATACTTCATTTATCTAAAACATTTTTTAAAATTTGTTAAAGGTTCCATAAAGACACAGTTTCAAGTTATTGCTTTGTGGTCAGGTCACAAATAATACAGTGGCTTTGAAAAGCATCTACACTGTAATCTGATTATTAACATTATACTGAACTTAGATGTGCAACTCCACAGGCTCTATATGGATCAAAATCTGAAAATCTAAGCAAGAAACTAAGGCATGTAAGGTACCACATCAACCACATACCCTATTACTATGTACTGCATGGGATTTTGTGCAAGTTTCTAAAACACAACTCGAACTGCTATGCTGACAGAGCATTACATATTTTTAAAAGTTAACTTTTTCATATAAAAACAAAAGTATAAATCTGCAAATTGTTAGAATTAAAGGTTCAAGTAATTTAATTCTTATGAGAAGAAACAGCAGTGATGGAAGATCTCAGAGCTCTCTGCATCTGATACAAATTCTAAAAGTGAGAATGCCACTAACTCTAAAAAGACTGGAGAAAGGTCACTACACAGAGAGGTTTCTTAACCAGTAAGGGCATTTTGAGAGACACACTGAAGTTTTGTGGACAACAATTAATATTGGAAATATTGCAGTATTCTAGTTTATTCCACAACAGCAGTCACTGAAACACAATTAAAAAGTTTTACCTCTGAAGCTTTGCTCCATGAGAAAGCAAGCATTTTAGAAAAAAAAAATTTCAGATAAAAATTTAAATACTACATCCCTCAGAAATCCTCAGCTGATAGGTAGGAACAGAGGTAAGATTTCATGTAATGCAGACAATGTATTTGTTTTACCTTTGTAGCTTTACTTACAATCTTTTCTGCTTTTTTTTAGCTTTGATAATATACATCATATTGCTACTCCTTGAAACCTACTAAGACATTCTCAAGGCTTTGTTCCAGCTAGTGAGCGCCATTTCAAGACTTGATGACATGATACAGCACATCTAATGGGGGAAAACCTCTTTTGTCAAATGTTAGCTCACGTTAGTGAGGAGGAAGTTAGTGAAAACAGACTAAGGCTAAGAATATTGGCACTTGTACCTCAGCCACAAACCTAAGTTATACTTAAAAATCAAACAATAATGTACATGTGAATTGCATTAAATGTACTTTCTCTCGTCAGGTGTGATTTTCAAAGCAGCCAGTGCATATTCAAGTGCAGAAAACACCAGGTTAACGCGACACGTATACACTTCCAACATGGAATTCAAGGTTCCCATTCAGACTTGCTTTGAGTACAGAAACGTGATAAAGTGTGTGAGTTCTCCTACCGGATTCCAGTTGAGAACCATAATGTGCATGTTAGAACTAGGAAAACATGCAGCAGAACATAAATTGAAAATGAATGAAGCACACACAAGATGCTTAATATACACTTACATGATGATTTCAGTTCTGTGGTGCAATTTCTTAAATAACATTTTGGATGTGACCAAACACTTTGTACTATTTCTAGGCAACAAACTTGGGGAATAAACATGTGGTCATCACACAAGTGAAATGTGTGCGATAAAAAAAAAAGAGACAAGAAAATATGGTAACATCTGTTTTCTTTCTGCTCTTTTATAGCTTTTTGAAGCACAAAGAAAGTAATAATTAACTTATAAAAGTAAATCCAGTTTCTAATTGTTCTTCTGTCAGGAAAAAACTATCACAATGATAAATAAACTTTTTTCAGCATATCTTTATGGGGAACATTATCAATTTCTACACAGCCACAGAACTCATTCTAACAGAATGTGGAAACTAAAGGTATAAACGGGTTCCGAAAGGTAATTATAATTAAAATATGGCAGCACAACTGCAGGAAGCCTGCATTTCCTACCCCTTCCTGTCTTCTGGATGTCACCAGCAGAATCCCTCTACACTGGCCTTTTTCCTTTTGCTCTTTCCTCAAGCATTTATTAATTGTCCCAGTTGAGAATAGCACACTGCTACAGACACATTCCGTCTCAATTGGTATAACAATTTTCACACACTTAAAATATCAATTTTTATTTCTCTAATAGTATTATTAAAATCCACAATAAATACAAGATGGTGCGTGATTTTGTTGGGGCTTTTTAGTAGCTAAAGTGAATGGACAGCATCCAGTCACAGAAAGCATAATCTGCACTGAACCTTTTGAATGATGATTCAAAACTAGGTACTCCATTCCAGGTGCAGAATGTGACTCTTGCTCTTGTTAAATCTCATACAGCTGGTGATTGCCCAGCTCTCTAGTCTATCCAGGGCTCTCTGTAAGGCCTCTTCACCCTTGTGGGAGTCCACAGCTCCTCCTATTTCTTTGAAATGTGTTTTTTAATACCAGCCTAAATTGTGTTTCTGTCTACTTAGACTTCAATGAGACATCAAACAGGGAAACTTTTTTTTGTTTGTTGGGGGGGGGGAGAGAAGAGAGATACATTAAAATGCATACACTAGTTGTGGTGGCAGAATTAAGAGACAGAAAAAAATATTTTCAGCCACTGCTGCTCTCTGGCTGACTGAAGATTAGCATTCCAAGATGTTTATATCCTTCTTCCAATATTATGTTGCTTAGTTCCCTTCCATCTATACAAATAACCAGTCTTGCCTCATGGAAAATAACATTTTTCTGGCATTGACAAAGACTTTTTCTCCTTTACTGGAAGCAAACATTGCCATAGCCAAATGACATATTACAGTTTCCAGAATTATAAGATAGGAAAATAATCACATGAGGTAAAATAACAAAACACATACATAATTTACTTACTAGATCAAGGGCAGAGCCTCCACCCAGATATTCCATTATTATCCATAATTTTGTATCCTGCAAAACAAGAACAACCAAAATAAAATTAACTTCAAAAAAAACAAAACAAAACAAAACCACAACAGTTAAGTTAGTGGGACTTGTTCCATTCTTTTTGCTGAAGAAAGAATCTACAGTTTTGAAACACCACTAAGGTATAGCTGTTCCTCCAAAATATCTTTGGATTATTCTTTAAGATATATTCTTTTTGTCCCATCTGATAAGGAATTAATTTAGTCTGTCAGAAGCTATTCACACAATGGTGTGTGTTCAATAAAGTTTCATTCTGTTCAAGAGGAAAGCTACTTCACATTTACCAATGGGTAAGGGTACAGACATTAGAAGTTCATTACTTCCAAATAACTGATGCATACTCTTAATGTCACACTCAAGCTCGTTTCACGGTACCTCTTTTTTGTACTGATACTAATACTACTAGAACATAGACAGTATCCAGGGAAGAAGAAACTTCTCTTTAATCTCTACAAGAGAGTCAAACAGCAGAAGGAAACCTCTTGCCTTTATGCCAGCTAGAACTGGACAAGCATTGTGAGTCTAAGTTCACCAGCACATTAACTCCAAAAAGCCACTCACCTACTTGTTCTTATCACATTCTTTAGCCCATTTCACAAAAGTGTCTTCTGAGACAAGAAAGAGACAGACAGGGGCCACCCAAGGAAAATGGAGGAGAATAAACTTATGTTTTAAAACTCTTGATTATAGACATTCAGAATACCAAATAATAATGACATTACATAAAATATATTTCCTTTCCTTCAAAAAAATGTTTTTTGTTGATTATCTTTATTTGTACATGTCACCTGATACTTCAAAATATTTTCTTTAATAAACCTGACTCCTGTCTAGGTTGAATTTAATTTAAAATTTATTCTTCACATCTCTGCGTTGTTTCATTTTCTTGAACAGTCATCAGTCTCTGACCTAAGGAAGAATATCAGTAAGTTTTTTCCACTAATGTTTATGTATCTAATATATGGCATAGAATCTTGGACAATTGTGTTCAAGAAAGATGAATCAAACTACTAATACAGATTATTTAAGGTTACTACAACAATTTGGTAGCTTTAGCTAGTAAAATCAAAGCTAACAACAAAAAAATCAAGCTACTATATTCTCAAGGGAAAGCTTGATACATATTACAGGAATGTTTAACACAAGATATATACTACACTATGCTAAGAAAGAGACTGGACCCAATCATTTCTTTCCACTGTTTGCAGCATCTTATTCCCAGATACTCTAACAGAAGCAGTTTGTCCACGTTTTCCTTGTAGCACCAGGCTTAAAGCATGTTTTAAAGCAAGGCCATAAACTACGAGCTAGATATTCAAAAGAAATTGCTGCATGGAACGTATGGAGGGTTTTGTTCTAGTTTTTATGATTATCAAGTTATATTATGGTTTGTTAGTTTTAACTCTATGTATCAAACACGACACTTCTAGCGCTAAAACGTGGGGGTCTCTCAGAGCACGCAGCACGTAAATTGCAACAACTTACTTTATCCTGCAAAATAAAACTTCACCTAGAAGCAACAGCTCACAGCCAGGGGAGGTAAGACTCTGAATACTCATCTATAAAGATGAATTAAAATGTTTAGCAAAGTGATAAATGTGTTGTAGAACATAACTTTCTTGAAATCCCTTGAGGGATTAGAAAACTTTAACCTCTAGTACTCACTTCAGCCTTTTAGTCATTATTACAGCTGTAATTCCACCTGCACCGGTCCTCTCCCTGGTCTCAGACTGCACCTTCTGTAGGTAAATGCACGCAGCCCTCCCCACCTACCTCCAGTTATACAAATTGTACTATTTTTAGGTAAGACCCTGGCTTAGAGTTCCTTCATCATCCACTATTTTTAACACACAGATCCAGCTAAATTTACATATCCTTCTTCAGGAGTCAACTAGTATTATTTGACAAGCACAGTCTTGATAAAAATGTTTTAAAAGAGTCGGAAGACATTTTTTAGGGAGAAAAAGTAATTTTAAAATATAATCTATCTTAGTATCTACATAGAGCATTTTGACAATGCTTACTTTCTGCAGACTCCACAGATATTCCAAGAAATATTGCTCATCCTGACAGAGCCCCTTATAGTACTGAAATACTGCATTCGCTGCTAAGAGGGTCTCAGACTTTGCCCATCCCTTCGAGGCTCCAGGTCCTAACAGTTCCAGAAGAAGTATGCTTCTGAGAGGTGCCTTATAGTAAATCATTTCATCTTCAGAAATCTTCCTAAACTCGATCAAAATTTTATATACATATTTTGCTTCAGCCTGATTAACGCCTCTTAAAGCTGCATGAAATTCCCTGAATATTCAACTTTTGTGTGTCTGCAAAATTAACATTTAATTTTAATAGTAATTTAAACATAAACATGTCAACTGTATCAGTATTTTTTATTTCAATGTAAATGCCTCGGTGGGAAAGAACAAGGTAGGGCAAATGAACTCCTTGATACTCTGAAAAACGGAAAAAAACACCCCACAAACCAAACCAACAACAATAAAAACGAAACACCAAGAAGTCAGCAAGAGATGCATCTTCTCTTTTCTATCATGGATTTAAAGAGTTAACACCTTGTAATAAGATACAATTTCCCCAAAGAGAAGTTCTCCATAAAACTACCTACTAAATTCTTCACCTGAAAATTAGAAATTAGAGGTAGCAGAAAATTATTAACATTAATTATGTTTAAGAATATCTTAATAACTTAAAACATTAATTTTAATTACATAGTTACACAATCGTGTAACAGAATTACACAACTAAATTATATAATTCATAGTCTTTTAAATCATCCTTTATCCTTTTTTGTTCTTTTCCCGGTTTGCTCAGTCTTTGCTCCTGAAACTTTCATCATCAACTGCTTGGGGCCATATGTCTGAATTTCTAATATAAAAGTCATGGATCCAGTAAACTCAGTAACATTTAAAAACAACATTTAAACATTTTAAAACAAGTATGGAAATGCAGATAGGGAACACACACATAACTGTATTTCTACCCCAGTGTGAAGCTAAGCAAGAGCAATCTGTTACAACTGTGGCACCTTTGTATCTGTAGATTCAAATTGATTTTTAATTCTCTATGGTTCCCCTTTCCCCTTGCTACAGAAATATTACTTGGCTTCATGGATGGTTTGGTTTGGTTGGTTGGGGGTTTTTAAGTTTTCGTTACTCTCATGAAGTACCTGAACAAGTGTCATTACTATTGTAGTAATTTTTACTATCACCTTTAGCTAATTCTTGCTGGAAATTTTTTTTAGCTTTCTTGTTTAAAATCTGCATACATTCCTTAACAAGAAAATGCAAAGAAGTGCTTTTGGTGAGACATTTTTAATGAATTGCTTAACATATATTCTACCTTAGAACCAGTAACCTACATACACTTACTTTATGCCTTGTAACACCACAAGGCAAGTAGAGCACTACTATCAACGGACGTTGACATCACCAGAGCAACGTGCCTCCTTCTCTCCATCCTTTCCAGAGTATCTCTGGCATGTTTCACATTCCCTAACACCTACTGTCACTTTCCTTTTTAAAGCTGTCCAAATTCTTTTTTTGCTTGTACTTCTCACACTCTTCTGTATGTATTCCCCACTTTTCCTCTCAAACAGAACACTGAAAGCACTAAGTTTTCTTCCATAGCCTAGATTAGTATTACGTATTACACATAATCATATTTTCAAGAAGACATTACACTTATATACTGCGACTAGCAACATTCACTGTTAAGATCTGAAATAAGACCAGTTTTCTTCTTTTATGCATCAGTCACAACACAGCACTGAATTTTCTTCCAAATACAGTGAAGCCATGGTGAGTCATCAATCCAAATTTAGGATTATTATTTCTCTATAAACATAGATGAGCACATTAATGAGGGCACATGGAACATTTCCTTTTCACAGTACGAACAAGAGGTTTTCCTCTGATGCCATGCAACTGAGTGAGGGAACAGCTTTGGAATCTAAAAGAAGCTCTGTTACAGAAAGGCAGTGTTTCTATAAATCCTTTCCAAACTACTTTGCTCTTCTTGAGACCTGACTTCTCATTTTAACTCTGGAACCACACAAAAACCTTACAATAGCAGCTTTACCTCTAACGAAGTATTCTCCATTAAGTCACTGTTATACCATGAAAGTATTTGTAAAATAAGTACAGCTACAGTAGGTAAAGAACTTCTCCTACTATGGAAAAACCAAAGACTATACACTGAAAAAAAAAGGCCATCCACCAAAAAACTCCTCTAGAGTCTCAGAAGTACATTTTAACCGAAGTCAGAGGAGTATAGAAGACACATACAGAAATAAGTCATCAAGATGAAAATGTTTGTTTTGTAAGTCTTTATGAAGTTAATAAAACATCTGAATAAATGCGGAGAGGCTTATCTTTAGCTACACACTTTTTTTTTTTTTTTTTTTTTTTTTACACACATGAAGAACACACTCACACATTTCTTAGCACTGTGATGTTACAGAGGAGAGGCTGACCTAAAGCAAATCAAGCCACAGTATGTATTGATGAAAATGTTTCTAAATCACCTTTCTTGAGGGAAGGAGAGGTTGCACAGGAAAACATAGTAACACAGAGCCACAAAAGAGAAGGACTAGAAGGACTCAGAAGTAAGAGCACCAGGTGACCTATACAGTAATTTAGAATTTAACTAAGAGTCTTAAATCAAGGAAGTCAACTAAGGCAATTTGAAAACAGTAGTACAACGGTGAGCACATGTTTGTTTCCTGGTGAAATAAAATCTCCCCACCTATTGTGAGAAAGCGAATTTCCCACCTTAAATTTATTGTGAGAAAGGGTATTTCCCACCTTAAATTTATGGTACACAATTAGTAGCAGAATAGAGAGTATTTATAAATATGTATAAAAGGTTTATTTAGTTCTGGAGACAAGCCATCTCCTATATTTATAAACACTTTAACTTATGTCAACAACCACAAGCCAGAAATTACATGATTGAAATAACACAACAGATTT